GTTCTTCTTTGTGAAGACATGGACCAAGATGCTTGAAAAATCTGGTCTCTTGAAACAGCCTTTCACCAGGCAGGAAAATACTGTCATTCAGACCTGCGTGGTTGCCTCCTCCGGCATCGCCTTCAGTGGTACGTATCTCTATATTTTTTTTCTTTATTTTGTATAAAAAAAATTAAAACTTTTATCTCTTTAATTTATTAAAAAGCCATTTTGGTACGATTGTTATACTGTAGATATCCGAATTGTCCCAAATCGGATTACAGGGTAATCGGATCGGAGAAGGCCGGATGCCCGATAAACGAGTCCCCATTGTTGTCATAGTCCCTGTCCCTGTGCCCATTTGCTTACAAGAAATACCGTGTTGGACTTGGACTTAGTGTTTGTTTTATCAATGTTTTACCTTTCTTGTGTAACGTTCATGGAGACTTTTTTGGAATACATAAGAAGTGGAAATTGCTTTCTTGGTCACCCACTCTGTCAATATTAGGCCTTAATAGCAATAGATGGAGATCCTAAGGAAAAAAACAACCAGAGGAGCCATCAAATTTTCTAAGTTAAGACAAAATATCAAGCTGTAGATTCGTCTGCCTTTGGGTCCACTGATGGCTAGGAGTGAAGCCAAGTTGTAGCTTTGGGTAAAGTGGTAATGATAACGGCTGAGAATGGGAAACGCATGCGGGGGACCTTTGGAATTTTTATGGCATATGACTTAAAGAACTAAACTAGCTGTCTCACACTCATTTCCTACACCTTTTCTCATTACTCTGACACAATATTGTCAACTCTTTAAATAACTCCAAATATAATTATCATGGTAATGATGCTATCATTAATTTTGGGTGCTCCAGATTTCATGGTTTTCATTTTCAGCTAGGTCTGACTCCCTCCGTTACTTTCCATTTCAACGTGCCTAGCCAAATCCATCTAGCTTATTATCTTTTCTTTCCTTTTTGTATGATACTAGGAAGATGCCCCCTCTACTTTATCTCTGTCTAACCCCATCCCATATAAATCAATACCAACTATATTATATAATCCGTTAATGTTGTATAGTTAGACTGGACATCGTCCAATAACAACTCTTAGAACTGTGAAGTCTTTGTTTTTGAAATAAAAACTGTTCAATCTTAATTGTACATGCGATCAGACTCATGTATCTCATTTCCTCGCTTATAGTTGGCTGTCAAGTACGCAAATTTTTTGGGGATACTTGTCTTAGTAGCATGCTTGGTACACTTGTCCATGTTTAATTTCTTGTAACAGGAACCTGTTCTGCTACATCAAATATTGTTGAATCAATGCTTAACAATTATGAGAAATATAACTATTTCTGGGAAGATGAACATAGATCATCGTAAGCTGTGAACACAACCAGTTCCATTAGTGATTTAATATCATGAAATCACTCATTTTTTTTCTTTGACATGAAATTAAGCGATATACTTATTCATGTAATACACAGTATCAACATCAGAAGCGGCTTCTAAGGCAAAAACTCTGGAAAGTGGGGAATAGGTTGCACCGCTTTAGAAGCAATGCTATGCTGTAATTGAAAACCATTGAAAAAATATCAGGTTTAGAATAGATTCACCACCTTTCACAAACTTTGCTTGTGTACTGTTGCAATTACATAACAAATTTATTTAAAGCATAAACTTGTTTTGATATTACTTTGGAATCACAAATATTGTAATGTATAAAAGTGTTTATGCTTGCGATGGAACATGATATCAGAAACATTTTTTCTTAAAATACAACTGCAACTGATTTACTGAAAATCCAATGTTTCCTGTACCTGTTTCCAAACAGGAGGATTCGGGAGTTACCTCTTTGGAATGAGTGAACGCATTGCCCAACAATCAGGGGACACTGGCGGTGTCAAGAATCCATCCCTGGGATGGATCATCGGCTTCCTCTTTGTTGTTAGCTTTCTTGGTCTCTTCTCAGTGGTGCCTCTTCGGAAGGTACACTCTGCACTGTCCCCACATATTTGCAAACTTACAGCAGCAGCATGTTGAATGGACAAAGAAATATAAACTTCAAATGAATAATAATGTATATCTGATTGTTTAAATGCAGAATTCAAGTCATTTGGTTGATATCGAATAATATTCTTGCAAGAAAAGGTTCTTGTTGATGTTAACTTGCATAGCTCATGAATTTTTTCATCCTCCTTTTCTCAGATCATGGTCATAGACTTCAGGTTGACATATCCAAGTGGTACTGCAACTGCACATCTTATCAATAGCTTCCACACCCCTCAAGGAGCCAAGCTAGCAAAGTAAATCACTGTCATAGTTAAGATTTCAAATTAAAGCTGATCATTTTGAAGTTTATACATTCTAATTGTCTCATGTTTTTAACACCTGTAGGAAGCAAGTAAAAACACTGGGCAAGTTCTTTTCTTTCAGCTTCTTGTGGGGGTTCTTTCAATGGTTTTTCACTGCTGAAGATGCTTGTGGATTTGCTAACTTCCCTACATTTGGGCTTAAAGCATATCAGAACAAGTGTGTAAAATCAGTTCAATTATGTTATTTTGCAAGATTTAAAAATAATTTGCTAAAGCCACTTTCTCTGGTAAATTCCTTCCATGATCCCTGACTTTTTATTTTAGTTCCATTTAATTCCCAACATCTGAATTGTTTCATTTAGGTCCTTAAACCTTTTAAAGTGATTCCATTTTGGTCCTTTACCTACTTATTCTGTTACTAATTGAGAAAAATATCGACATGGAATGCCAAGGAAATATTCGTATGGCGTGCCACATGATGCACAACATGGACGTTACATCAATTTTAGTGGAACAATTTGACGAAAGGACCAAAACGTAATCATTTCGAAAAATTAGGGACTAAAATGGAACAATTCAAAGATTAGAGATTAAAGTGGAACCGGAATAAAATATTAGAGACTATAAGTGAAATTTACTCTTACTTTCTCAGTTGGGAGTATTTAGCTAATGCTTCCTTTGCTAATTTTCAGGTTTTTCTTCGATTTCTCAGCAACATATGTTGGGGTGGGGATGATTTGCCCCTACATAATAAACATATCGGTGCTGCTTGGAGGCATACTTTCTTGGGGTGTAATGTGGCCTCTCATTGAAACAAGAAAGGGTGATTGGTATCCTGCAGGCGTTTCTTCAAGCAATATGCATGGCCTACAAGGTTACAAGGTTGGTTAGTTTCCTATAAGCTCATCACATTATAGTTTTCTGCCACCATTACATAAATCACTAGACTCTTCCTTTGTCATTGATGCTTGACTTCTTCCCTGAATCCAGGTATTTATCGCCATTGCCATGATTCTAGGTGATGGCCTGTACAATTTTTTCAAGGTGTTGAGTAGAACACTCACAGGCTTGTTTTATCAAGTTCGAGGCAGACAAGCTCTCCCCATTGCAAACCAGCCCTCTTCTGATACCTCAAAGAAGTTATCTTATGATGATCAGCGCCGAACCCAACTCTTTTTGAAAGATCAGATTCCTACATGGTTTTCTGTTGCAGGTTATGTCACAATTGCTGTCATCTCTACCATTGTTCTTCCACACATCTTTCATGAACTCAAATGGTATTACATTTTGGTCATCTATGTCTTTGCACCAACACTGGCTTTCTGTAATGCATATGGGTGTGGACTGACTGATTGGTCCCTTGCTTCCACCTATGGCAAGCTAGCAATCTTTACAATTGGAGCTTGGGCAGGTTCACATGGTGGAGTCCTTGCAGGCCTTGCAGCATGTGGTGTCATGATGAACATTGTTTCAACGGCCTCTGACCTAATGCAGGATTTTAAGACTGGGTACCTGACCCTAGCTTCTCCTAGGTCCATGTTTATTAGCCAAGTGATTGGCACTGCCATGGGCTGCATAGTTTCGCCTTGTGTCTTCTGGCTGTTCTACAAGGCATTTGATGACTTTGGGCTTCCTGACAGTCAATACCCTGCTCCTTTTGCAGTTGTTTATCGCAACATGTCTATATTGGGGGTACAGGGCTTCTCTGCTCTACCCAAAAACTGCCTCTTGCTTTGTTATGTGTTCTTTGGTGCAGCCATCTTGATAAACTTCGTTAAAGATATGGTGGGTAAGAAATGGGGATCTTATATTCCACTTCCAATGGCAATGGCAATACCTTTCTACATTGGGTCATACTTTGCCATTGATATGTGTGTTGGGAGTTTGATTTTGTTCGTTTGGGAAAAGATAAACAAGGCAAAGGCGGATGCATTTGCGCCAGCAGTAGCTTCTGGTTTGATCTGTGGCGATGGTATATGGACTTTGCCTAGTTCAATACTTGCTCTAGCAGGGGTGAAACCACCAATTTGCATGAAATTTCTGTCAAGGGGAACAAACGCTAGGGTTGATAAGTTCTTAGGGTCATAAAGTTGGAAGTTAGGGTAGCAAGGAAGTATGCATGCAAAATCTATGGATACTCTTAGCCATGTACAATACCCCTTCAAATATTATATGTGCGTTATTTTCCTGTGTTTCCTTCCCCTTCCTGATGCAGACAAAACAATGTCAGATTCAATGAAACGATCTGCCATCAGTGGAGGTTGAGAAAACAAGATCAGACGCAATGTAGTTATGATCACTCTCAAGGGATGTCTTAAATACCTTTAGGTACATGTTGTAGGTGAGTCTGTGAAAAGAGAACAAGACTGAAATAGTTGATATTGTCTTTGCTTTAGCATGCCTAGAGTTTCTGTTCCTCCAAGTTTTAAGTTACTGAAATTGCTCATGTCTTTAACTTTTCTCAACTGTTCCTTGGATGAAAAGAAGTGAATGTTTTACAAGTAATGAAGGAAAATCAGACTTATAAGCACATGCCTTTGACAAACTTTGTGCTTAAATGAAGATTACGATTTTGGTTCAAGTAATTAATTGAGACTTGATCTTGTGTATTATCAAATTAGATTAAGTACGATTTTACAATAAAATAACAAAATTTGATGACTTGACAGTATATGAAATCATCAAATACTATCTAGAAAAATTATGAGGTAAAAAAAAAAAGGATTGATCTTTATTTTTGTCTTGAATCATAACAACCATTTTACCATTTAGAGAATCCAATAACCAAAGAAAGCTTCCCTTTTCTTCTGATAAGCAACCAACTGAAGAACTATTCTAATTGAGGAGAAATGCGGTGCATGTGATCTTTGAAATTTTAACACAAGTAGTAACATAACCATCATGGTTATGCCGATTATGACTAATTCTGCCATTCAAAAAAAAAAATTATGACTAATTCTACAACATCAATTGAAAAGTTTTGAGACCCTTTAGAAACCCACCATCATGGTTGTGTCACAATCTCTTTCTCATTGTTCAGTCTTCATCACTTTCACTAAGTATAGGCTTGAATTTGCTTTGGCATTCCTATATTTACAATAGTGGCATTATAATCTCAAGCAGTCCAATCTTCATCACTTCCATTAGCATCCTAAAGTGACATAAATAAGAATAAATCACTAAAATTGAATATAGAAATACAATTTCTGATGCATATTCTTGGTGGTGGGCGGGGGAGAGAGGTTTGTGTTGAGTACTTAGTTCCACGCAATTATGGTAAAAGTCAAAAACTATATAGAAGCTGACAAGAAGTCTCACCTCTGATGTGCTTGAGATTTCTTCGACGTCCTCCTCTTCATCCTACAAGGATTGTTCACAGCATTAACCACACTGAAATATAAAGGACCTTGACTTTTGTACTTTGTTTATTGACAAGTAAGCTAATCCAAGCAAGTATACACAAAATTGATATGAAAATTTCAAATAATATAAGGGGAAAAAAAACATTGAAAGGATTACATTCACAATCGAGTGGTACATTAAATATAAAGTATTTCGAAAAAAGAGCATCTTGATAAATACCTTAGAGCTCTTATTAGCAAGACCCAACAAGAATTTGCTTTCTAAGGTGCCAAATCAATGCTTCAAATTGTAGCATCTATTAAGGATCATGCCAAATTAAAATATGAGAAAGAAGAAGAAGATATGAATCCTTGCTATATGCTTTCACAATCTATAATTCTCAAATACATAACATGTAGCAGAAATTTTCCTTTCTTCTTTTTTCTCTGTTTGGACACTGAAGAGTTATTGATATATGCCAAGATCAGTACCTTGTTCTTCACCCCTATCCTGATTGCATACAAAATTACCTAATGATTCTCTACATATGGTGGAAACTCCACAAATCTTGTGTTTTCTATGTAAGAGTAAAATGCATCAATGAGATTACATGAATGCTTTCATTTGTAGAAGTTAATTCATAATTGCTTAGACAAGGAAGTTTCATGGCAAAAGAACATATAAATGGAATTTTAAATAGATGAATTTGGAAATCCTTTTATAAATTCAACACAACAACATTAATGGAATGATACTGTAGGTCCCTCAAAGTTATTGTAAATCACTTCATATTGAAAACCAAACATAATTTGTCAATAACAAATAAGTAATTGATAGTGTTTCACAAGGTTAGTGAGCTTAACAGATATCATGAAGATAATGGAATGTGAAAATGGCATTATACAATATGGTTTCAAATCAGGAGAATGATTACAACACCATTAATCCAGTATATGGTTGAGTCTGAATTTTTTACGCAAAAACAAAGTAATTCAACATAAAGAAACACCAGAATTTTAAAATATAGACAATGATACCTCAGATTCTTTCTTCTTTCTTTTGGTTCCTGTCCCTACAGTTTCAAAGAAGTATCCATTACAAATTTTAACAGAAAAGGGAAAGAGCTGAAGGCCATTATATGCCAAAAACTTCAGCTGCATGCATATGTCACAAAGAGATAAACCGGCACTGCAAATAAGTTCTAGAAACCACAAGAACATGCAAATTTACAGTTACTTTCCATGAGAGCTGAAGTACATAATTCTTGCACGACCATTTACTCTATATAGCCTATCTGTGACAATTGACAGAATGAAACCCCAATTTCTTAAGAAATTTCTTGAGATGATTATATACAAAGCATGGGCACAAAGACCTAAAAACGAAAAAAGTCAGTACTTCTGCCTTTCAGAACATTCATGACATCCTCCATAATATTAAAAATAGCCAGAATCCTGTTCAGTTAGAAAAGGTATATGAACATATTAACAAAATCAAACAACAAAAGTGTGGCCCCAAATATACTTTTGAGTATCCCTTTATGAAAAGTAAATTAGCTGCAAGTCAACCAAACGAACACAATGAATGTTATCATCAATTGTCTTTGCTAGCATGATGCAAATCTTACATTTTTCACACACTGACCAAATTGGAGATTGGTATATCTGCCATAGCTGAAACAGTTAAAATTCATCTGCATGGACCTCAATATACAACTAAAAACTTAATTTTTCTAAACCTTATAAATAAGCCATTACAATCCACCTGCCTCATCAATTCCAAACTTATTATAATTATCTTTGCTAGCATGATTGGGCATCTTTAAGTTATTGCACATGACCAAAGCAAAACTTGGCTTATCTCTCATACATGAAATGGTTCAAATTCATCTTCATAGATGTCATCAAAGAAATAAAAACTTATTTCTGAACCATATAAATAGGCCATTATGATTTAACTGCCTCATCCAGTCCAAAGTCCAAACTTAGATCATCTGTCCTAGTGCTAAATCCAGTCTGCTCAAAATTGTGACACAAAAAAATATACTTGGTTTTTTTGAATACAAGAAAGAAATATTGTTAATTCTGACAAACTGATTTACATTGATGACAAGAAGATTAAATTCTCCCTCACCAAGTCCCCCTCAAAACATTCAAACAAATATGTACCCGACATAAGATGGCAAAGTACTCATCAAAGAAAAGGCAGCTTAGGTCTTGACCAGTTAAGTTACTAACAGCCAGGTTAGTAGGCATTACATTACTTGAACTAAATGGGTTGTGAATGTGGAAATAAAAGTAGATAATTAAAAATCCAATAAAGTCTTGCCAAATGGTCACGAATGACAAAATAAAGAGTAAGTCATCCCTTCCTTCCCCTAAACCTCC